AGCGATAGTACAGACATAAATTCAGCAGAAATGACAGATGAAAATCAGAACGATACTCTAATAGTACCATCTAGAGGGAGCAATGAAAGCACTCCAAACACAACACTACCGATTATAACAAATCAATCATTAACAGAAGCGATGACATCTGTGACAACTAGTAATCCATTCTCTTCCAATAGTCGACCTCGATACGATGAAGATGAAGATGATAGAGAATTTGGACATCTTGACGAAGAAAGTATGCAAGGAACCTCACTCTTTAATAATGCAAATATAACCGAGAGAGGAGAAGTATCAGACCGAGTAATACGACGAGTATCATTTAACCTGAATACACGGGAAAGATCTAATACCTTTACAAGACCGAATTATCCAAATGCTATTGCCTCGGGCTCTGGAACTCAATCGATCTCGATGGGAACTAGTACGAATTTATCAAACCAACAGACTTCAATTGGTAGTATATTTGACCCACCTAACTTTAGTGACCTACCCCCATACAGCTTGAATCCACCTACAAATACGAACTCTGCACCATGGCAATCGCACTTGACTACCCAAAATAATGTAGGGAATAATCTCAATAATGGACAAGGCTCAACGAATGCAGCCCAGACCACTTCAGTAGCCCAATCGTTTGTCACACAGACCACTCAAAATAACAATAATGTCCTTCCACCGATAACCCAACCTCTTCCATTCACATGGCCTCAACCAGCACAACCAACGTCACAACCACCCCCATTTGTATGGCCTCAACCAGTACAGCCAGCACTACAACAGCCTCCATTTGTGTGGCCACAACCAGTGCAACCAATGCAAACAGCACCACAACTACCTGTGGCCCCAACAGCAGACAATGCATATCTGCAGGTTATACAAGGACTAGCTGGATGGCTACAAGGACAGCAAATTAGGGAACAACGTCTAGTAGATTTACCAACATTTAGGGGAGGTAATCAAGATCCAGTGGAATGGCTTGAAGCTTTCGAACGAGCATGTAGGACAAATAGAATTAACACTGCTAGGATGGTAGAAATAGTTCCCAGTCATTTAACGGGAACAGCCCTGACATGGTTTCAACGACAGAATATTTCCCATTGGAATAGTAGAGTAAATCCAGGAACTTCATTTGTACCATTGTTCCAACAATACTTTTGCAATGCTTTCAGGCAGAATCAATGGAAACATCAACTGAGACATCGGAAACAAAAAGCAGGAGAAACGATTGAGGAGTATGCAGCAGCTATGGGAGAACTGTGGAAAAGAGTTGACCCACGATATCGACGTGCTGAAATGGATCGAGTAGCAGAATTTATCGAAGGATTACGACCTGAATTTATGATACCAGTACAGACTGCCATGCCCACAACAGTAGATCAAGCGATTGAAAAAGCTAGAGCGGTGGAATCTGCTTATTCTATTGGGATGGAACTATCAGCATATTCATTGATGCCTAACTATATGCAATTATTACAAGGGGGAATGGTACCAGCGCAAACAAACATTGCGATGCAGACCAACTCTTATGTTGTTCAACAACCCGATATAGAAAATACTATTAATCGTAAACTAAATGAAGGGTTACAGGCTATAATGGCTAATATTGGACAGCAACAACAGCAACAACAACAACGTCAGTCACCACAACGACTCCAACCTCAGCAATGTTTTAACTGTGGGAAACTTGGACATTTTTCCAGGGACTGTCGAAGCAGTCGTAATAATGGTAATCAGTCTAACAACGGATGTTTTAACTGTGGACGTAAGGGACATTTCGCACGGGATTGTAGAAGCAATAACAATAATAACAACAATAATCAAGGTCGGAATTTTCAGAATAACAATAGAAATTATAATCAAAGTAATGGTCG